CAATTTTCTTACTGCTTCTAGAGCAGAACTTCTACCAAACATTAAGTATGAACCCTAGTTCATTGTGTGTGAGTTACGATGTAATCTATTTACCAGGCAAAAATAAACTTAATCGGATGAGAGTCCTGGCTGCAATTATTTATGGCCCCCCTTGCCTAATACGTAAACCTCGGCAAAACAACAAAATACTATTAACATGTGGTGTCAGCACAGGTGCGGTGTCAGCACAGGTGCATACTTCATTTTTATCATTTTTCCTCTGAAAATTGTCATGCGGTTGGAAAGAGTTCGATTTCTGCACACCTTATTTTTCCTTATAACATGCATTTTTCACACTTGTTTTTATCAAGAACATGCACTTTTGCATGCTTCATTTTATCTGGTCCATCCAAGTTTGGATATTTGAGTTTATGCTCATGTCATTGGAGAAACTAACATTTGGGAAATTCAGATGATATTTTCGACAATGGGTTTGAATGGAATATTCAGTGCTAGGAGTTTATGTGATCAATCAACTTGTATCTACGGGACTATCACTATCATGGAAACCATCCTGAGCTGGAACTGGCTACCCAATCGCCCGGGCACAAAATTCTACGATTGGAAAATTATTAACTCCATTAGGTGATGGTGATTCTCTTTAGTGTCTTAACTAAAGATTTCTGCTCCCTAGAGGAAGCACTTCCTTATTTCCATGGTGTTCAACTCGCAGTAGTTTATTTGGCTAAAACAGATACACATGGACCAAAGTTTAGGCATGAATATATGGTGGCTTTGATATGCATTGAAGATAGAACCAAGGGAGTTGAAGCTTTCGGCATCGACGTGTGCACTTGCACACTTCCTTTTTGTGAACAGTATTCCTCAAAATGTCTCCCCAGACCGGCATAATCACTTTGCTGGGTAACCTGCACATTGTATTTCGTGTTCTGCAGCCCTACTAGCAGATGATTTTCAACTTCGTAGTACATGTCGGTGCGTTCTTACGTGCCTTTTGGGGGATTTCAATGCTACTCTATTTTCATTTTTGTCCAGTTCTGAATGTCTGTCACCCGAAACTCAATACTAGGGTAAATTTAGCCGATGGTGCCTGAACTAGTAGATGTGCACTGATTGTAGCTTTAGCCTTAGAATATTTATTTTAATTTCCTGTTTACCAACCGCCCACCCTAGTATAATCTAGCTTTCAATGATGAGCATGTTGAGGTTCTGCAGCAAGATCTGGATTCTTTTCCTTGTTAACTGAAAACTAGTTGTATTGTATCTTTTCGGTTGTTGGGCACTGAGAGCGCTGTCAGAACCTTAGTTTGAATATTTATTAGCAAGTAGGTCTTAGATTTCCTAGAAATAGCCAGTCATCTTGCAGGAGTGTTGAACTGAAGACAGCTGACCGTCAGTATCTCCAGATCATATGATTCCTTCTCTTGTGTCAGAGTAGTACCTGTCATTTCATTAAAAACCCTGTTAGTCATATAGTGTGAGTGGAAGCTTCTTGCCTTACAAAATCAACCTTGGTAATTTATTGTTTGTTTTACTTGTCTATACCTTTAGGCACATTCCTCGGTATGATTTATCTTCATTCAGGATGTCAGTACATTGTCACTCTTTTCTGGAATTCAATTGTTCTTTTGTCTAGTAAAGACTAAAGAGTCCTTTGCTTGTTGTGGCAACAAGGTGTGATGATAACGTAAACTAACTGTGATATATGTAAAGTTTTTCTGACCAGTACGACTCCATCAATGTTGTGTGGTGGTCGGTGGTCAAAACATTATCCAACTGATGCCCAAATCATGCCAATGTTGATGAGGAAAGACCGATTTTTGTGGCCAATATTTGCATCTTGCATATTCTTATCGTAACTGAGCAGGACCTGCCTTTTGAGGATCTTTTCAGTATCAGACCATGAGGCTTCATCGTTGCCCATGCTGATCTTTACAAAATTTACCTGGACCTCATGATTCACATATCACTTTTCAAAGTTTACGCACGAACAAGGTGACAGATCTAAAGTATGTAAGGCATGTGAGGGTCTGTTAACGTAACGCAATACGATAAGATAATGCATGTGATTCCTAGCATCTGTTTAGCAGGCAGGCCTACTTGGCCTATTGTATAGTACATAAGCAGTACTCTTTGTTTTCTTAATTGGTCAAGTGTAGACTTAAACAAAAGATTGATCTCACTGGAGTGTGTGACCTTGGGTGGAGGGCTGGGGCCAAGGGGTTTCTTCATAAACAATACCATGTCCACGTGATAACCTGTAGGCGTTTTCTACTAATTGGATCGAGCTACATGTGCCCCGTGAGACATGCTGCCATCAAGATACGCTCGGATCATCACCGACTAGCTGGTTCTAATTGGAGATTTGATGTTTTATATTATTTTCTCATCGTACTTACGTGTAAAATGGTCATTTGGGAGTAGCTTACCCTGCAATTGGTATTCTAGGCAAGCTGTATGATGGTAGTTACACTCAGAGCAGCAGCACCTAACGATCCAGCATTATTGTACTACTGGCAGTGGATCTTGTGAATTGAATATTCCTGAGACAAAGAGAACTTTTAGTGCATGTATATGCTGTGACTGGCTGGCTAATCAGATCGTTATCAGGCTAATAGGATCTTTATTAACCAGCTCGTGCATGTCCGATGTCATTAGTTCGTCATTACCAAATTATCTTACAATACAAGATGCGTTTCTGCTATTATTAAGTTTCACACTAGTATGCTAGATCTCTTGAGCTCTTACATGACTGCATTATCATCGCTGGTGGGCAAATTGTGGCATATTGCATTGAAGGGAGTACCTGCTTATAATCTAAGGATTGAAATGATCAATAACATTGAGCTCCCTGGAAACTTTATATGTTCCAGTATGATGTTTTACTATGTTGGTTGGATTTACTTTTGTGAGTGTAGAGATTTGGGTCAAAATGCAAGTACCCACATGCTTACATTTTGAGGTTCTGCTGTCATGTTCACATCTTAATACTGTCTCTCAAGCTTCTAGAGGGTACGAAGGGCTAATATGTGTCCTACTAGCTCAGGTGTCAGGTCACTGAAGGAATAAAGCTGGCAGTTGCGCTCTAGTTGCTGTACTGCCTGGCTCGTTGCATTGACTGGTCAAATTCCCAATGATTCTTCTGAGTTGTCCAGCAACTCTTTCCTGGAAGGACAGATTCATTCTACTATGATCTGTAGTATAGGGGTGCATTTTGCAAACATATTTGGTGCCATATAGTCCAATGCATATACTCTTATTCCTTATAGAGCTAAATGTTGTGCCTGATACATGGGAGTGTTTTTTCCATAATACAGAGTCATGAAGTAAAACTTGTTGCAAACTGTGTTAGCCTACATGTGTTGATACATTCCTGAGAGTTTGTTGGGAGCTGAAAGGGCATACATGATTCAGATATGCTAATTCGTCAAGCTTAATACATTGGGAATCTCAAATTTGCAGAAGGCGTTACTGTTTTGTTTTAAGCATCTACATGCATAGTCTATTGCATAAACGTTGGGGGTCTTTTTCCGTACTTTCAGTCTTTCTAACTAACTTGCCGATCATTTTCCTTGTCATACTTTTAGGAAGCTTGGCTACATCATTTTATATCAGGTCAACTTGAGCAACAGAACAAGAATGAAAATGACTGAAGTAGGGGAACCAAAGCGTTTCAGTAAGTAATCATTTCACGAAATTGCAAGTATGAGTTTATCTGCAACCAGCTCATTCCTTTGTTTCACTCCATTTCTGTACTTGAAACAGTGCACCGATCTGATACATGAACCCACAGTATTGGTTTTGATTCTGCCTGATAATGTGTGGGTGTAATAACACTTGTCAATGTGCCCCATACATGTATTGATTATCAGGCGCCGCAAGACATGGGCCGTGGGTGCCAAATGATCGAAGAGACCAGTCAGCATCATGACACTGCTGAATCTGATACGCTATGAGGTATTCAGCGCCGGAAAAATCTATTAACTGATCGGTTCGGTTCATGCACTCATGTTTCAGCAGTTGTGCATGGTATTAGTTATATTTTTATAAGGAACAAAGCTGAGATTGCTAAAATTTCTGATCTGACAGGATCGGTATGTAGATAGGAATTAGGAAACTGTACAGAAATGTCACCATAATTACATTGTCTAGGAGGCACTTGCGCATCTATAGAGTAGTGAGTAGTGACTGGAATTTACCCGGTATCGCTGTTCCCCCGGGCCCTAGTGTTTGTGGAGACAAGAGATTTGTGCTTCATGCATGGGTGTACACTGAACCCTAGACATGTCCAAATAGAGCCGCAAACAAAGCCATCTACCAGTAACTGTAGAGCCACTGTTCTTATTTCATACACATATTGAGTACATAATGTGGGGCAAGAACAATAAACCCCACATATATTTTGGCAGTTCGAGAAACATGGCATGTGTTTCTCCTTCTGACAGTACTGGCCTCCAAGTCGTCTCTCCCACCAGCACTTCATCTCCTGTTGTTCAAAGCTTCCTCCCACTTGCAGCGGCGATGCACGAGCAGCATGAGACTCACACAAGCTCCTCAGTATGGTCTCTCTCTCTCTCTCTCTCTCTCTCTCTCTCTCTCTCTCTCTGTCTCTCTCTTCGCAGTCCCGCTTTCAGTTTAATACTTCCTGCATGTGACTGCCATTTGGACCATAGTTTGGTTTTGTCCCTATAGGTCAGGGTCTTGGACTGGGCCGAGCACTGTGTAGATCAGAAGAAACTCACTTCCTCTTGCCTGCCCTTTGGGTTTCTCGGTTTGCAGCTGCCACTATTTAACACCCTAGTAGCCACTCATTTCTTTCTCCCATGCACAACTTGTCTTCCCTCTCTTCCAACACCACTTCTTAGTTCCTCTCCGTCCTTGTCTGCCACCACTTCTGTCTCTCAAACTTGTCTCACTCCAACCATAAACCCTCACTGTCTTAGGCTCTCTCTGCCAAGTATCCAATTCCTAAGTACATCCGATCACTCACATTTGCCATAATGTCGAGCCGTAGGTCACGGTCAAGGCAGTCTGGCTCGTCGAGGATCACTGACGAGCAAATCAGCGACCTTGTCTCCAAGTTGCAGGACCTCCTTCCTGAGGCGCGTCTCCGGGGCAATGATAGAGTACGTATCATTCATCATTGGCGTTATCACTTTATATGCAGCAAATGGTAGTTCTAGAAATTGTAATTAGACTCTTCTGTAGTTACAGTCTAGCATTCACCTTTCAGTCTCTTGGTTACATTAAGGCCTAATAGATGATGAACTGATCAGCTATGTCTTGGACAATCCTACAATTGCATGCTCTTCCGACGCTTCAGCTTGCATGAGCTAACATTAAAGTTATACTGATCTTGGCCTGACAACGGATCCTCTTTCCCTTTGGTTCTCAAAATTCAGGTGCCGTCTTCAAGGGTGTTGCAGGAGACGTGCACCTACATCAGGAGCTTGCACCGGGAGGTGGACGACCTGAGCGAGAGGCTGTCGGAGCTGCTGGCGACCTCGGACATGAGCAGCGCGCAGGCGGCAATCATCCGCAGCTTGCTGATGTAGAGCCGGCTCCCATGCAGTGCGCAGGCGCCTCGTCGCTGTCTTGCTGAGCGCACAAGCCTGAATTTGAGCGTTTGTAGCCTAGGGAGCGATCTTTAATTAGTACCGGACTTGCAGGTTACCTACTTAATCCGCGTGTGTACGCTGTCGTCGTGTCATCGTCTTAATCAGGCCCATCTTTTTTGTGTGTGTACTTAAATCAAAGCTCGTCGTGGTTCGTGCAAATTTTGCTCGTGTCTCATTCGTGTGTGCAAGAGTAGGCGTCACCTCTTTCAGCGCCAATTTAAAGTGTTGCTATGCTTGAAAAAAAACTGGGAAGTGTTGCTTGCTTCCTCTTTTGGCACAAGAGGGTTCATGGGAGTTGTCTTCTTTTGGGCAGCAGCAGGGTGGGCGCTGATGAGGGCAGATTCCTTTCGCTCTCCCTTGCTTTCCAGATCTCGCAGCTGCAATTATCAGGACTTCACAACCGACAGTTCCGCGATAACAAATCCAAGCACAGGTCGTTAGCCCGGCCTGATGACTGATCGCAACGCCTGCTTCCCGAGAATACTGACTTGTTGCAAAGAAAAAGAAGGGGGAAAACGAAGGCGATGCATCTAGTAGGAGACATGAGCAGTGACGGTTGCGCTCGGTCAAAAAACTACGGTAGAATTAAAGTGACACTGGCCGTGTGAATGAACTTGTCGATTGACTGCAGACAGACGCGATAACCTTTTCAATGACACGATAAACTACAGTAGTGGGCGGGACGGGGGGATCCAATAATATCTCGATATCATTTTCAATGGGAGCCTACAGGATTCTGCTGTCCTGCGCGCTTCCGGCGTCGTCCCATGCCTAGAAGCATAGCACCCGGTTCCACTACTCGTTCCCGCTAGTCAATCCTGGCTAAGCTAGGTACTAGGAGCTAGGAGTAGTATCCTATGAAAGTCCCAGTTCCGCCGGCCAGTGCCGGCCACTTCTCGGCAACTACCGACTGTGCTCGGCGAAGCAACCACCGCCTCCACCTGGGGTTAGCATCGGCCAGAGGAGAAGGAATAGAAAGAAAATAAACGCGTGGTCAGGTGGAGGTGCGCAGGACACGAGCGCCTAGCGCGAGCTTCGATTCCGCACGGTGCTGGAGCTCGTGGCACGCGTATCGCACCGTTATCAAGAGGAACTTGTTGAGCAGCTGTGTCTTTTTCTTCTTCTTTTGATTTGAGTGAAAGCGCAGCTGCAGACACACGAGCCTCCCACGTCACGCTGGTCGTCGGAGTTTTTATTTTAGTTTTTGCAGATCCATATCGATACATACAATCTCCTAGGCCTACCCGTAAACCTCCCACATCCGTTCGGAC